GAGTTTCTATGCTCAGCATATATCCTCAGCTATCTGTCATTGACTGGTAAATTCATAGGAACTTCTAAATGAACAAACAATTCACTTTGATGAACCGTAAAAAAAAATTGATTGAATCGCAGCGAAAATGGAATACGATGGAACATTTCAACATCGTTGGTTCAACAGAAGCACTGCACACGTGCCATGAATATTTGTCGATTTTATTGCTATTTTCATTGACAAAATGTTTCAACTAGATGTGTGAGCACCTGAGTTTATAACATTTCAATTGATTAGAAAACCGAAGAAAAAAAAACAATGTTAAAGAAAATGGTCAGAAAAAGCATTCACAAATCGGAAGAAAAAGAAACGGCGATGAAGGAATCGCATTCCATTGAATGCTTACTTAAAATCAACAACATTAAAGGCGTGTCGTTTTTTGTTTCAGTCTGAAAAGGTCAGAGGAAAATATATAGCTTTTTTCATTATACTTTGTAGCAATGGCATTTGTTTTTTTTTTTAACTCAATTTACGATTCGTGTGTGTAATTTTTAGATTATTTTTAAATTTTTTTTTTGTTTGTGTGTGTAATTTATCTTTTGATTCAGTTTAAATTTAGAATAATTTTCATTCAATCAATCATTAAGAAATGTTAAGTCGTAATTTCTTTGTTTACTTTGTTTTTTAGCTTATTGTTGTTGCTGCTGTTGCTGTTGTTACATGTCAAATGAAATTCGCATCGATTCGGATTTAAAGAGACATTTATATTATTCATGTTTGCCTTTTACATTTTCGAGTGTCTAACTTTATAATTATTGATAAAATTACGCAAAAAGAAAAAAAAATATATGTATATATATAACGATTCTCGACATTTAATGTTCCTTTCAATCAATGAACCAGATACCGTCGATAATCGGTGTAGTTGTTGTTTGTTTTTTTTTTAGTTGATAAACTAGATTCTCAAAATCATGTACAATTTAAAGTTTTGTTTAAATTTAATTTCCATATCATTGTGTTTTTTTATTCTCTTCTTATTTCTTTCTGCTCAAAACTGCTAACAGTGTATTTGGATGCGGCTGTTGGTTAACATGAAAGTGATAAATAAGTTTCCACATTGCATTTTGTTTATTCTTTTTTTTTTTTGTTATTTTTGGTTAAATTCCATTTTTGTTTTGCTTAAAATTGGACTGAACCGAAAAGAGAGAAGAAAAAAAATCGTATGTGTGTGTGTGTGTGTATGATGATCTCATAAATTTTGAGTTCGCTTCATAGTTTGATTATTATTTTGTTTCATTGTTTGTTGTTCTTTATTTAAATTTGCAATTATTGAATTTTATTCTTTTAAAATATGCTTATAGAATTTTTGTAATTTTTTTTTCTGGTTTTCTCATCTCAATTAATTAAGTGCGCAATTGGATTATTACTTGTTTTTTTTTTCATTCATTAAATAGAATATGTATCGAAAGTGTACACATTTTTTTTAGATTATTCACTTAAATAATTTTATTTGTTTTTTTTTTCTTGATTTTTTTTTTGCTTTGTTTGTTTTTTTTTCAATGAATTAAAGAGAGAAAAAAAATTGTTGAAGGTGCTACTTATTCAATACATGTATATATAGAAATAGTTTTTTTAGTCATTAATACATTACTTCATTTTATTTCTCATTTTATAGAAATTTTTGTTTTTTTTAATGATTATGCTGTTGCCGCTGTGATTTTTTTTTTTTTTTGTTCATTTGCCTTTTTTTTGAATTTTTTTTTGTTTCAAATCATTTTTTTTCCCCACTTAATTTTCTGTTTGTTTCTTATTCTTCAAATAATCTGATGTTGAAGTGATTTTCCATTTGTGAGTGTGTGGTTGTGTTGTAAATTTGTTTGTATTAAATGTATTTGCTATTTAAAGATTCATTTAAAGTGTATTTGTTGTTGTTTTTATCTATTGTTGATGTTTAAATTGTTGGTGGTGTTGCGACGATTCAGAACAAAAACGGTTCTTAATTTTCTCTCGTCGAAGCGATCTATGATTGTTGTTCGCCGTTGATTCAGTGACTACATTTTTTCTTCTTCTTCATTTTGTTTATCATTTTGTTGTTGTTTAAAAACACATTGCGCATGAATCATGATGGGCATTCGGCTGAACATTTTGTGATCCAAGAAGCGGCAATAAAACTACTTGACAAAATTATTTGGCAACGACAACGAACTTGTTTCTTTCCTTCTTTCTTTTTTTTAAACAAGCTAACAATTTGATGCATTTTTTTCTCTTTATTTTATTTGATTTAATGATATCCAACTCTATTGGGACTTTTTTTTTAAAATCATATTTTGTGGTTTTTTTTTCTTATTTTTCTCTCTCTCTCTCTCTCTCCCTCTCTCTCTCATTTTCTAAATTTACAAGAAGAAAAAAAAATTGTTGTTGGTTTTCATTTTTTGTTTGTTCCGCGAACGAGAAGTTCATTGATACGAGGCGAAATATTTTCATCAAGCAAACTTATTACGACTATCGTGGAGTATTGACTGAGGTTTGATCGTTTCACGATGATTCCGTTTTCACGCTGATGCCACACTTTCCACCATCGCCATCTTCGGCTTGGCTCGTCCCGCCGACTGGACCGCCAGCACCGCCACCGCCACCACCACCACCGTGACCGCCAGTTGGCCCACCAATTGGTGACGCACAATGCATAAATGCATCTTTTCGCGGTGGCATTCGTTCATTAATCGCATCCAAGCCCTTTGCTTCAGCGAATGAGGTGATTTTGTGATTTGGCGAGAATCCTTGAAGTGCTGCATTTCGGAAATTGGAATAGAGACAACGATTAGAATCGATTGGTGGGCAATTTTCAGAAGAATTTTTTTAAAAAATAACTTCGGATGAATGAATTTTGACAATTTTGACAAAAAAGCAATGACTGAGTGATTTTTTTGAAGAACAGAAACTATTAAAAGAATGCAAATTGATTGGCGATCATAATACAATGTGTGCTTACCATTTTTGAGTGAAGTTTTTCCACCGGATAAAGCACCCAATGGTAATGCACCTGTTGGTGTGAGACCTTTCAATTGTAACACCGATTCGGATTCCTCTCTGCAAATGGAAACAACCATAAAATTGAGTAGACAATTGTGCCATTGAAATAAATAGAATATCGTTTACTATTTTTTTTGTTATCGAAACACTTACCTGAGGACCGAGAACACGCGTGCCATTTTACCGATAGCACGAATTTTGTTTCGAATAACTTCCTTGCGCAAATTGGCTGCATTACCTGTATCCGGCCGATAAAAAAAATCAATCCCAATTAGTGCCCATGTTGACAATGATGATGCGTGCGATAGAGAGAGAGAGACCACCATCGAACAGTAGCAGATAGATATTTAGGTCAAGTCACAGAGTTTTGATAGAGACACAGTGAGAGAGTGAGACACACAGAGAAAATAACAGAGAATACAAAAAAAAATAAACCGAATGATTAGCAAATTTTCGATCGGAATGTCACATATTGTGTTGTTCATGTTTTTTCATAGAAAAAGTATAAATGAATTGAAAAATTTGATCTTGAAAACAGTTCCATTCCATCCGACAATAGATAGAGTCAACGTTTAAATCAAGAATATGAAATGAATCGAGAAAAAAAAAATTGGAAATCGAACGGAAAAAAAAAGAAATAAATTTGAAACGATCTCGACAAGAACGAGAGAAAGAGAAAGATAGATAGATAGAACAACAACATTAACAAAAGAGTATTTCAGTAATAAGTAACAAAGTAAATGAGAAATAAGCGAGAAAAATTTGATAATTAGCTGAATAAATTTGCATTTGTGTACTTACCGGCATTCGAAGTAGAAAAACCAAAAATTATTTAGTTTCAATTTGTTTGTGTGTTCATTACAGAGAGATTGATTTGTTTAATGTTTGCAGTTTGATTTTAGTTTGATTGTTTATTATATCAATTTGATTAATTGTTCGAAAATTGAATTGTTTTGTGCGTATCGTCGAAAGTCGATCGATTGATCGAAACAGCAAATTGATATTTCGAGTGATGTTGAATTGGTTGTGTGCGATTTTTTGTTTGTCATTTTATTATAGGTTTTTTGTTTGTTTTGTAAAGTAAAGTTGCAGGCAGCAGATGAACAATGGACACACGCATCAAAAATCGTCGCATTGATTTAAAGTTGAGTGTTTTGGTTTTATTGGTTTTATCGTTCAATTTAGTATTTATGATATGTTGTAATTGCGTGTGTGTGTTTGATTGGTGTTGTGGTTGGCCGTGTGTTGAAAACCATCGCAATTGATTGGTTTTTTGTTTGTTTTTGGTTCAAACATTTTGGTGTGGATTGTGAATTTAAAAAAAAAAAATAGAAAGAAAAGTAAACAAAACCGAAATTAGAAAATTTTCACAAAATAAGTCCATAAATTAAGAAAAGAAAAATTTTAAAACACAAACGTCAACAAAAAAATTTCACAAATTAAATATATGTCAAATACAAAATTAAAAAATTAGTAGAAAAATAAACAAGAATAATTTTGTTAATTGAAAAAAAAAAAACAGAAAAAAAAATTCGGCAAAAAATGCAGAAAAACAAACGAAAGCAACAAAACGAAATGGTGTGATATGAAAATGGTTGGAATTGGTTTTGGGTTAAAAAAAAAGAAAGTGTTCGGTGTTTGTTGAAGATGGCGGTGTGAATTTTGTTTTTTGTTTTCGATTTGAAGGATTGCAAAAGGGTTGTTATTTTTTTGGTTTGAAATATGGTGCACAAATTGAAGAGGTTTGCATTTTATTTGGAATTTTTTCATTTAAAATTGTGATGCCGAATTGTTACGTGTTATGGTGTGATAAGCATGAGAACATTTCGTTCAATGATTTTGTTCGGTATTATTTTTGTTTGTTTAATTTTTTGTTTGTTTTTTTTTTTTTTTTGAAAGTTGAAAATAAGAAAGGAAAAAAAAGAAAAACAATTGTAAGTATTTTAAAATAGAAAATATGCAATATATTGAATTGGTTTTTTTCTGTCTAAAGTTTGGATCAATAAATAAAGAAACATTTTTACCGGAATATAAAGAAAAATATTGGATTTTTTTTTCTGTTGTTGGTTCGAACACAAAACAAAAATATATGAGGCGGTTCAACTGAGCGAAATGGAAATTGGAACTGTTTTTTTTTTCTTTCAACAATGCATAATAATTATGTCCATTTTGTGGGCATAATTTTAATTTTTTGATACCAAATAGGGAACTCCTTCCCAACGATATTTGCATCAAATTCTTTTTCATTACAATTTTTTTTTTTTTCATTTATTCGAATGAAAAAGTCCAACACGTTCCATATCGCTTGGTTGAATTGTTAATAAAGCGTATTAAAAATTGCTACGGTTTTTCTTTCTCTATAAAAAAGCGTTCAAACATACGGTTCTTCATATGTATGGAAGAATATAATAGGATAAAAACAAATGTTGGTAAAGAAAATATTGATGGGAAAAATGGTAGATAGAGCAAAAACTGAATGAAAATGCAAGTCAGCGATTTGTTGTCGATTCGAGACAGAAAGACAGACGGATAGAGAGATAGATGAAGAGAAAACCACACGCGAATGATTGAAAGCAATGAAACCACTACGAATTGTAATTCATTAATTGCTTGAAGAAAAAAAAATCCGAGAAATTTCCACACGATTAAAGTAAATAATACACAAAATACAAAACGTTTGCGTTACATATTTTTTTAGAATTTTTAGGAGAAAAAACAAGTTTTTTTTTCTTGGTTAAATCTGAAAAAAGAAATCAGTATGATATTATCATTTGGCACACGCACACGTACACACAACGCAGTCGCCTTTTTTTTTGTAACAACTTACACATCTTCTTAACCGGAGGTCTGACAACGAGCTTTTGTCGGATTACTTTGGTTTGATGGGACAGATATTGGCATTTGATATTGTTTTGTTTTGGTTATTTGGTGGTATATTTGTTTGAGTGGGAAATAGAAATCGGTTTTTGCGATGACAATAGCGTGCAATGGCATTTTTTTCATATCAAGTCGTTCACATTGCATATACAATACCGTTTTGTTTTGTTTTTTTTTTTGTTGGGGACAGGTTGGTTACCAAATCGAATCGTGTTTTTTTTTTATATTATTGAGGCAATGTGTTGTTTGTATTTTACATCCGGGGATGTTAATTTTTCGTTTGAAATAAAGAGAACGATAGACAAATGAAAAAAAAAGTTGAACAAATAAGATTAAAAACAAGTATTTATATAAACTGGATCATTCGAAAATTTGAAAAAGAAAAAGAAATTTGACCATTTCAATCAAATGTTAGGCGCAAAATAAAATTATTGCCAGAAAAACAAGCGATAAAAACCAAAAAAACATTTGCCAGAAACAAAAATTACAGAAGCATCGACGCTCGTTAGAAATGCTTAGGCGATTGTAATCAATGTTTCAATGAATATATCGAAACAATTTTGTGTTTGAACCAAACAAGCTATAAATCGGTCAGTAAGTATGCTAAGCGAAAAGAAAAACAATTTTTTTGGGGAATAGCAGAAAGCGGTGTTAATTGTTTGTTCGGTTATTGGGACCAGCCGAAAATGTATTCTCAGATTTTTGTTGCTGTTGTTGTTGGATAAGTGACTGATGAAAACGTGTTGTTCGTTGTGTGTTTGGCGTGGACTCAAGTAATAAATTTACGCCTACCAATGCCAATGATCATCCTACAGCGATTGCTTGGTATAAAAAAAAAAACGAACGACTTGCATGCGTGGTTCAACCAAATTTTTCCGTTTAGACGCGGAAATAGAGTGCTTTCTCATGATCTACTGATTCCGGGAATGCCAGCCATTTTTCGTTACCATCCATTTCTATTCGTATTCTTTTCGCTGATGAAGATGGTGTGATTGGCTCCTTATGTAATTGCCTTGCGTCTCAGCTTAGGTGCACCACGAATTCGGTGTGTGGTCGAATTCCTACCATCATTCCTTGTTATGCGATATGCCGATAGTTACATTGATTTATGGTTTTCATTCCAGTCGATCTCCTTTATCTCGTCTCTCTCTCTCTCTCTCTCTCTTTCTCCCTGTGTCTCTGTGTGTAGGTACGATATGCTCTTTGCTAGATTTGAATAAATGGCATTCCCGAAAGCAGCGCCAGTAGCATACCTGTGTTCAATGCACCAATATATATAATAATTGACATGCGAAAAATGTGGCTGAACCATGCGGTAAACCGTTTCATCTCTATTTAACGTAGGTGCTAGTGCAATCGTGACATTTGTTTTTGCTCAATCAATGCCGATGAAAGGGAATAGAAATGAACGAACGAAAGGAAGAAAAAGAAACGGGCCATTCAAAGAAGATATAATGGAAAAAGAGATGGAGTGAGAGAGAGATGAAGAAGAAGAAGAAGAAGAAGAAGAAAAAAAAAAGAAACACGGAAGCCAGATATGGAATAAAAGCCAAATCGGAAAACCGATTTTTTTTTCTTCGATTTTACGGAATCAAAAAGCAAAAACGAATTTGTTGTTGGAGAAAGCGTTTCGAGAGAAATAGAAAGAGTTTGGGAATAAGAGGGAAAAAAAGACATTTTAGAAAAACTACAGAAAGGAAAAAATTAAACAGAAAGAAAGTGTTCTAAACTGTTTTCAACCGTATGAAAAAACAAATCACTAAATCTAACACCTTTGAAATGATGTTAGAGAAAAGAAAAACGTATTTTTTTTTGTTTTCGGCGGGGGAAAGGGTGGGAAAACTAACTAACCAAAATAAAATACAAAAATAAAGAATTTAAGGTAAATAAAAAAAGGAGTAGGGGAAAATATGTTGAAGAATATCTTACCGTCGGCTGTACTCAGGCAAATAAATTGTGTGTATGTTTGTGGAAAATTTGTTTTTTTGTTGGTTTTTTTTTCGTATGTGTGTTGGTGGTTGTTGTTGTTGTTGTTGATTTGATTTTCGGTATAAAGACACAATTTTTCATTTGTTATGTACGCCGATATATCCAATTCCATTCAGGCATAGAAATTCAGTAGTTTTTTGTTTGTTTTGGTAATTTGGATGGATTCGTTTTTGTATATGTGTGTGTGTGTAAAAGATTGTTATTTGTTGGATCAGTTTGGAATTTATGGTGATACACAGATCGAGACAGAATACAAAGATTTTGTTTTATATATAAATGGAGAGAAAAAAAAGAGAGAAAAAAACAGAGAATTTAATTTTAGTTTGGTCAAAGCAATGAAAATAGAATATAAATATATGTGTATAAAAAAGTACGATTTTTTTTTCTGTAGCTATACCCTCAAGTCAAACGTGTTAACCAAGAAATCTAGGAAACTTTGGTTGTTTCTTTTTCAATCTTCTCTACGTTCGCTACAACATAAAATAGTCAACTTTTTGTTCCATCTCATTCGAATGGAAATGAAGAAGAAGGGGAAAAAACGTTTCCACGAAATTAAAAATGGTTTTAATGAAAAGAAAACAAGTTTTGAAATGGAAAATACTCGATTAATTTATTAAAGGAAAAAAACGGAAACGGAAAAGCATTTTATATCTGTGCACTTCAAGCGCCGCTGCCACCTGCTTATCTGGCCATTAGACTGCTCTCGAAGTGCACAGAGTTGGAATTTTTAAATGCAAAATGCACCAAACAAACAAACAAACACAAAAAAAATAGAAAAGATTATTTGAAACCAGAAAATGTTGTGTTTAGAAAATAAAATAGCTGACGAGCATAAGTAAATGAAAAGCAAACGCGCGAGTTGGGGGGGATAAAAGTGTCGTTTCGATTTGGTAAATCTATCTTAATCAAACATCTGATTCAAGTCGAAAAATGCACCTTTTCCCTCCCGCACTCATGAACAAAAGCTTGACTGGAAACTCAACGGAAATTTCATTTAAAAAAAAAAAAACAAAAAAATAAAGAAGAATATTAAGTAATCGCAGATAAATGGAGCTTGGTTGAGATTAACTAAAGAGTGACAAAAAAAAAATTCAAGTAAAAAGATCTTGGACACAAATAGTATCTTGGTTTGTAATATTCAAAAAGAAAATCGAGCGATTGAGGGTCCGAATGCAGAGTGTGTATTTAAATCGCAATAAATTACCTTCTTCGAGTGCATCGTCAGTATCCGACATCAGTTCATCATCCGAACAAATGTTCAACACATTGACCAGCATTTCGGTTACCTGTTTGTGTGTCGACGTAGAAAGACATTAATATGATCAAAACATTTGACAAAATGTGCACGATGCCGCGAAAGGCAATGCCAACACACGTACCTTTTCACCGACAAATGGCAATGACCATGTAAACACATCCATGAAATTTGGAAGCCAGTACGGGTGAGGTGAGCAATTAAATTGTCTAATATTCATTACATTGTTTTCATATTTCAATACAGCGGCCTGTAGATGATCGAAAAAAAAAATTGATCAAGGTTAGTTGGTAGATGTATGTGAATCAAGGGCTGATGCTGGACCAGTTATTTGAAGTGTGTGTGTGTGTGTGTGTGTGTGTGTGTGTGTTCGTTACCTTGTTATTGTAAACATCCAAATAATTTGGCGCCGAAAATATCGTAATCAACGATGGAAAACCTGTTGTTTGACTCTTTCGGTACATTCGGTATCTGAAATGGATGGAATATCAATGAATTACGTATGGCTGAGAGAGAGAGAGAGAGAGAGAGAGAGAGAGAGAGATAGAGAGAGGGAGCCCACTTACCCGGCATCTTGTGCTTCATGTGCCCTAATTATTGATAGTAAATTATTGTTTTGAAGGAAATCGCAACACGCCGCATAACTGAAATCGAAATACACGAAAAAAAGAAACATTCAAAGTGATTATCGCATTCGGTTCAAGTGATGATAAGAATTGGTCAAAAAGAATTTGAACAGCGGACAGATTTGCCTAACAATAATTGCTTACCTGTAAAAATACGAACAACCTCTCACTGAATTATGCGAAAAGAAATCTGAATTTTTCTCGTTACCAAAATCTTCTAATGGATCCGACCACAATAGATCACACATTGCACCATAGGCTGGTGGTTCCTTAAATCTATCCAGCTGTTGTTTTTATTTAAAAAAAGAAAAAAACAAATGAAAGAGAATCCGAGATGTTAGTGGTGTTTCGTCAAAAACCGGAGACAAAATGAAAAGAAAAAGATCGATACCTTTCTAATATCATCTAAATCATGAATCTCGGGCGATAAACCGCCATGTACACATAGAAATTGTTGATTCATTAATGCAGCTAACGGTAAGCAGTCGAATGCTTCCATACACGCGATGTACACACGTTCCGAATACTTTATTCGACCTAAAAGCCAAATCATATTTAATGTTATTGTATTCTTTTTTTCTTTCCCGCCATTCAATCACTTTGCCCATTTTGAATCACCAAAAAGTGATATTTTTCTATTTTTCGTCAATTTTTGTTGCTCGTGCTATTTTTTTTCTTCTTGTTCTTCCCCCCGCTTCATCTTCCATACAAATTGCAATTTCCGGTGGAAATATCATTTTTATTTTCGTAATAATTGGTTAGCAATTGCTAATGAAATTCCAATAATTTAATAAAATTATTGCCAGCAATATGGGGAAAAAGAAAATTAAAAAAAAAAAAAAACGAACTGACTGATTTTTTGGATAGTAAAATTGAGTATCGTTCTGGATCATTTATGTGCATGCACACATATTTCATGCATCACTGCAATGGCGTGTCGAGATTGTGTTGAGCACATTTAATCACACATTTTTCTGGGTTAGCGATTTCAATTCGACAACCCAAAGAGTTCAATCGATGGAAAGAGAACGCAAACGAGTGCGCGATGGAAAGAGAGAGACTTCTCGTCGAATGAAGCGTGAAAAAAATCAACTGGGGTATTTTACGAGCGCATGTGAGTAATCGATTTTGAAGGTAATTTCAAGAGGAATGTTTGCATACGGAATCAAATGTTTCAAATTGCTTCGATATTTTACTTCGTGTTTTTTCTCTCTCTCTCTCTCTCTCTCCCTCGATTCAATGTATTTTATTCATTTTGTCCCTGTCTCGTACTCTCACTCTCACTCTTTCCATCAAGTGGAAAAGTATTTCATGACGCGAAACATAAGCGTGGCGAAAAAGAATGGCTTGCAACCATGACTCCTATTCACTTTTCTACTAATTTGAATATTGCTGTTGCATTTTTCCAAACCGGCGCGCACCGAATGAATTTGATTTTTTTTTCTGCTTCTGTCGTTGTTTTTAGTCTCTTATTCTATGACTACTTCTTCTTCTGCTGCTACTGCTGCTGCTTTAAACTGGTGCAACAACGAGAAGAGAAGCGAAAAAGTTGTTCTCAAAACTATTTTCACTGGCACACACACACACACACACACACACACACACACACACACACACACACGCAACATGTATATGGTTTGTATAGAATGCAGCCGGAGCGCTTTTATTGCGCTTTTAAGAAGAACACTTTTTTCGTGATTTCTTTTTCATTTTCATCTTCATTACTCTGAGTGTGTAAAATTGCATTGAAACGCAGGCAGTGAGTGGCATTATAGGCTACTCATGGTTCGTCGCCGTCTCTGGTGCGCACATTTTCAAGCATACATAAAATATCTACGAGTGCGCCGGAATTAGTTAGAAAATACAAGTTGAATGGCATGCAGCGCTGACCGAACACACACACACACATTCTCTCTCTATCTTTATACCTATCTCACACTCACTCGATCTACTTTTATGTCGCTCTATCTAATTTTGTACACACGAACTTTATTTTTAACTTTGCCACGTTAAAGTTTATCGGGCAATATTAAAATCCTTTAGCATGTCAAATTGCAATTTTAAGGCTGATGCATATTTGCTGCACTCTTTCGCCCTCTCTCGCTCTCTCTTGCTCTCTATGTCGATAAATTTTGTGACTCGCGAAGCACATGAGCGCACATTTTTCCTACTAAAAATCTATCTATATTTTTTTCTTTCGCAGTGGCCGAACGGTAACGGTTAATATAAAAATTCATATTTTATGGCTTCCGTTTGGCCCAACCTCTTGCAAAGCAATGCTGCGTCACAAACAAAAAAAAAACCCATTGCATATGAGTTGGGCAACACACTAGCAGCCAGTAGAAGTACATTCATAAAAAGTTTTACATTTCTTCTCATTAAATTCAAAAATGAAAACTTTACACATGAGATCTGATATGAAGCTGAGGGGGGAGGTTATATCAGAAAGCGTACCACGAATTTATGGGCGAAAATACAAAATGGGATTTTTGCATATTTAACGCCACAAAAATGGACTCGTTCACTCGATGTATTTCGGCCCACCGAAAATCACATTGAAATCTACCGTACACCATTTGTAGAATGCAAGCAGGAAATGTTTCAACATTTACCGTTGATCGAAGCGAGTGAATGAGAGAAACGGATTTTTTTTTATTTGTTTGTGTGTGTTTTGGTAATAATTCGATGTTCTGATTGGAATATTCAGCGAATTCGTTTGCAGAAATGATGTTTAACGTAAAAAAGTTACGAAATGAATTTGTACATATACACAGACACACACACATAATTTTATCGCAGCGAAATTCCATTTCAAATTATTCTCAGGTTGCTTTGAAAATATTTTTTCTTTTTTTTCATTAGCCACAATATTCATGATCTATATCAAACAGGTGCATGGCGCGGACGCTAAATGTTACCGAATTGCATTGCAAAACTGAGGGGAAAACAAACTAACCAAAATAAACAATAGCACACAGAGCACAAACAAAACGAGAAAGAGCATTTTGTATTCCATTTTTTTAGTAAACTGATTTGTTTTTGTTCGATGGTCTTGTTTCGTTACTATTGGCTACGAACTTACATTCTTGTTTGAATGTGAAATATTCTGTGAGATGTCGGCATTCGTGATTTCCACGCAGTAAAAATAATGTAGTTGGATAACATAATTTCAATGCCCATAAATACAGAACACACTGCATTTGCACAATGGATTGGATGGTTTTGGATGTTTTTTTTTGTTGTTGTTGTTTGATGCGGTTTTGGTCGATTGGTTCGGGTTGGTTCGTTGATTGGTTGTTTTCAATTGTTTGGTTTTGATTATGGTTATTTGTTGTCATTGCGAGATGGCGCGAACGAACGCAGGTGAACGTTGAGATCACACATACAGAGGGTACACAAATGGTGATGTTTGAGAAAAAAAAATCGTCGCACGTTTCATATCGAGCGTTTATGTGGTGAATATCGATGTGAGATAGAGCGAGCAATTGATTTGATTTGGACAAATACGCACAAGTCAATTAGATTCCAAAAATGGCCACCAAAAGCGAACACATATTCCAATCATCAGGAGCAACGAAATCAATTTGACCGAAAACCGAGACCAATGATGACGATGAGCGTGGAACGTAAGATGAGCCAGAATAGAAAAAGAGAGACAAAATTCAATGAGATTCAATGAAACATACACATGAAAAAGAAAAAAAAACGACGTTAATGGTATGCGTCAAATGTCGGGTAGAAGGATAAAAAAAATGATTCAATGCGAAAGTGGTTGTCGCAATTGAACGAATTGTGGAAAATTGAAACCCACTTTCCTACCGGCCACTTAACACATACACAACAAACAGAAAGAGCATGCACGGAGTGTATTCATTGGAATATACACGTGAGCAACGTATGTACATACCTCTATGCTAAAGTATCCTCGATCAACGTAATCGCCGAGAAAAAGATATTTTGTTGATGAAGGCGGTCCACCAACTTCAAATAATTTCATGAGATCATAAAATTGTCCATGAATATCACCACATACTGAAATGACAGAGATAAGAAAGAAAGTAAAAACCGTATAATAGGAGCTTGGTTGGGAACGCATGATGTTTGATATTTTGGGTTCATTTTTTTTTCTTGGTTTTTGGCAACACACAATGTCTTTGACGATGACGATGACGGCGTGTCAATTTATGCAAATGCATGACATCCGTCTCCAACCGAAAAATCACAAGCGATTCTCATCATTTCAATGCACGCGTACAAATACACCACACCTTTCTTTTCCAATGATGCGATGCATTCATAATGGTACTTTGAAATTCTGATTAAGGAAAATGAATGGACGATTTACGGCAACTGCAGAACCATTGGATGGGGTTTTTAGCCTCATCGTTTGTGTTTCGTTTTTTTTTTCTTTCGTTCTTCACGGCAATTTCAAGTGGAAATTTTGGGTTAGCCAAATGTGATTACAGTGTTTTCGCTAGTCGATGGCAACGGGTTTCATGTTCTACATTTTGGCTAATCACAGAGTTCAATGGTGCACCAGTTGCAATTTAATCGTCATCTCATTTCCGCAAGATTGATGTTTGCCCAGACATCCGCTTCACTTTTTTATGATGGGTTTTCAAGTGTGTGTGTGTTGATTTTTTTTCCTGCCCAAAATTCAGAATTACATGTAATTAAACAAAACAAGACGGTGATGTTACCTGTGACGGGCGCTTCAATATCAATCATTGTTTTTTCCGATTTAAGTAGAGTGGCACCTTCTTGTATGATACGTAAGGCGGCCGCTTCTTCAATTCGTCCTTCAAGTATAAAATGTTGCTTAAGTACATCGGATTGAGGTTTGCCGGTACGCGCATCAAACACTTCTGCTACGGTTAATTTATGGCTTGGTGGAAAAGGTACACCTGTATGTGCGCGTTTGTTTTTTTTTTTTCGAGAAAAAGATGGCATTTTGCAGGAAGAAAAGAAAAAAAAAGTAGATAAATAACGACACGATTAAATCAGTGGAATCATTGCTATTTATCACATACGCAACGCAAATAAAAAAAACGAAACGAAACAAAACCCATTAGCGTTAAAATGGGAGATTTGTTTTAGATGTGCGTTTCGTTTTATAGTCGTGCGCAAGCTAATTTTCCGGCAGCATCGAAAGGGGAATAATTGAATGTACTTACTATCGATGGCTCGATCGGTGGTCGAGTGCTTTTTCTCTGTGGCTTGTTGATCTTGTGTTTGCTGTGGCTGTTGTTGATTTGTTGACGACGATGTTGTTGTGGTACCTGTTGTATTGGTTGCCGATGCACTTGTACTAGAATGTTGCTGATTCGAAGACATTTTCAGCTCAGGCTCTCTGCTCCCTCGGTTCGATATATCTCTCTCTCTCTTTCACTTTGCCACTCTTTCACTCGCTCTATGGCGCTCGTTAACTTCCTCACTCTCTATCTCTCCCCCTTTTTCTCACACGGCACACGAACACACAAGCACACTCACACCCACTAGATGCCAAAATTAAAACTCCTTTTTTATCACTTGTTTTTTTTTTATTATTATTAATTTTTCTTGTTATTGTTGTTCCACGTCTTTTCTTCTATCACTAAATTGTGTGGTGTTGATCCGTTTATTCCAACACAATTGGTCCGTATGCACACTTGGTATGTTTTTTTTTTCTTCTTTTCGTTTTCTATAATTTCTTCTTTTTCGCTCTCTATTTAGAAATTGTTTCACTTGTTACTTAAATAACATACATACACACACACAGTGAGAAAGAGAAAGAGGCATAGGATGTGCTCCTCTTCTTGTTTTCTTCTATTATTATTTCTTTTTTTTTCTTTTCCTCTCTTTATTATCAAGGATTAGTTATAATTGTTGATTGTAAATCGTATAATTGGATGATTTGCCTTCGTTTCGTTACGTTGCTATGCACTGATTCGCTTCACTTTAACACTACTTGGGCGTTCTTTCAATGCGAAAAACTGAAATAGAAAGAAAAAAAATACACACATATTACACCATTTGTACAGCAATAAGACGAAAGAGAGAGAGAGAGAGAAACAAAATGGCAACTGAATGGAGAGAAAGAAAAAAAAACTTTTTCTCTTGAATTATGAGATTCGCTGGGCAAAATCTTTCTCTATCCAACATCCATGAGCTAGATGAAAGAATGAAGAAGAAAAAGTGTCAACAGCAAACAAGCATCTGATTTTATTTTGCGACAAATGTTGAACGTAAGTTGTTTGTGATTTGTTATGGATGGTGTGATAGTGGTGGTGGTGTTTTCGTGGCTGAAGAAAAAAACAATTTTTATTATTCAACTTTTGCTAAAACTACTCCAATCAGTTCTATGATTTCTCAAGTTAAATACGGGCTGTAGTGTATAGTTAAAGTTATCAAAAGAATCCATTTGTTTAATTAAATGCAGTCTCAGTTTACACACTTCTTAATTTTTCTCATTATTATCAGCAATAGTAGTTCGTGTAGCGTGTTTTTTTTTGCTCATATCAAAAGAGGATTTCCACCATTTGAATTGTACCAATAAAACCAAACCCTAATGCATATGCATGGAATTTTCTCTTATATTGTTTGCCATAAACGTGTTGAGTTTTCAACTTTAATCGTTTGTCATTGTCACACAATTGTAAATTTTATTATTGCATTTGGTGTTAATTGCATGAAATGTCATTCAGTTATATGACCGCAACCGAAAAAAAACAGTCTAAACGATAAAAATCACTACCGTCTCGTTGCGGTGATGACAATTGTGTTCTCTGTTACATAGAGCACGGAGAGAGAGAGAGACCCACACAAATGCTTTGACGAAAGCAATCAAAAGGAATATTTGATTTTAGACACACATAACTCATGAAAAGTGCACATTCAAACCGCACACTTGTTATTTATTCCATCTTTCGCTCGTTTGATTTCCGTTTCAAAAGCTTACACAGTCACAAACACTCATTATACCACAGACACATATACCGACATTCCAAAACATTACCAGAACCAACATCGAATGTTAACCCTTATGCTTAAATCCTTTTTTTTGTGCTTTGAGTTTGATAAGTCAATAACAGTTTTAGTGATGAGATGATTAGAGAGATAGTCGGGGAGGAAAAAAAAAACGATTACAATCAAGTAGCGAACGATTGAAAACTTTTCGCTCAAATTTATCTTGCTAACCCTTTTTTTTTGATGGCAGGAAAAAATATACCGCACAAAAACACACACACATTCCATGTGTCGTTGTGGACTGGGGTTGCATTGCGCTGCGCTTTATGTGCAAATTTCCAACAATGTGATGTGAATCAAATTGTATTTTCGATGAGTTTAATTGGATATCATGTGGATAATAGTGTGGAAGCCTGAAGTCACATGACATTTAATAATGAACAAGAGGTGAGGACAAATATCCGAAAGAAGTGAGCGAACAAACGAGTGTGCGCTAAGTATTTTTGTTTTTGTTTGTATGTTTCTTTTCAAAATGTGCTGAATGTGTGGAAAAAAAATTAAATTATAAAACAAATTCAATAAAAACGACTGCGATGATTGAAAATGTGATCGATGCCATAAATATTGGCGTTGAAACGGGAAGCTATTGCATTAAATTCTGAGTCGAAAGAGAAAATCGTCACAAAATGAACCACATTATGCTCACAGACAGACACATACAATTGACACCACATTCCGATATTTTTCGAACTGGTTCATGAAAATATCAGCAATTTACTAACGTTCGAGCGAGGTGGGACTGTGCCATATACAATACGTGCCATAAACTCACAAGCCAATTGGTGGTTTTCATTTTCTCGGTCGATTCGAAAATTTTAACACCTTGTGTGGCTTCTTTGATAGTTTTAATTGTCACTTGCTATTTACTGAATGCCCCGTTTGAATGTGCTTAAGACGTTTATGCGCATTTCCTTCATGCTATTACTTTCCGTTCGTTTCAAACCGATCGGTATGTGTGCGGTCGGCGGGGATTTGGTGATGCGGTAATAATGTTGACAGTAATTGAAGCTTATTCGCTTCTTTTTGTCTCTAATGTTTTTTTCTTCTTGCTTGCTTAGGTGTAAAGAATGATAGAAGAAGAAGAAGAAGAAGAAGAAGAAGTAAAAAAAAGAACCAAACCGCAAAGACGGAATTTACCGTAATTCCACACGGCAAAAGTGTAGATAAAAAACAATTCAGCGGTGATTTTGGTGTGTTCAGTCGTTCACTTGGGAATACTCGGCCACAACATGAAATATATTCCAATGAATTTAAAAGTTGGTATTTCATTTTACATTACAAAGGACACATTAAAGAGCACATGTTTTTTTTTTTCTACAAATAAGTGGGCATTTGTGTGCCTTTCTGTGTTTATAATGTCGCGAGCAAAGCGAAACGAAAAATACCCGATTCAGGATTCATCGATATCATACAATTTTATGGCAGTTTTCGATTATTTTTGCGGTTTGACACGTGTCGATGGTTGTTTTCAAAGGTTTCTATTCACGCTTACACACACAGGCAATCACCGCTTGGACGCTTATCAGCGGAGACGCAGCTGTGAATGTATTCATTTGTGTTTTTTGTTAGCGTATGTAATTCGTTTGAATGGCTCCATTCCGTTTCAACATACAGATTTACAGGCAATAACATATTATTAACTATACTTAATAACATAATAATAACGGCCGATATATTGGTCCAACATAATATAATAATAACGTTATTAAGATTCAGCATAATAATAACATAATATGTTATGCGTTATATCGGGTGTTATCTTAATAAATCCTAAGATTCGGCGGTAATAACATTTTATAAACTATAATAATAACATATTATTAAGATGGATTTATTAATTCAATTAATAACATATTATTAAGATACAATCTTAATAACACTTTTTTCGCGCATTTTTTTCGCCGGAGCACTGACAAGTTGTTTTTTCACTGCGGATTACACACATGAATTTTTGCACTGTTGCAATGAAATTAAAATGACTCTTTGAAACGGAATTATCATGTGGACTTAAACATTAAGTTTAGGAAATCGTCAGTCCCGACCTTGAAAGGATCAATTTACCATATTTGAACCCGTGAGCATAAAAACAACGTATTGACTCTTCGCCGATGAAT